ACGTTGGGGGTGACCCTAGGACGAATGGCCCGCGCCCTGAGCATGAGCGTGAGCGGGCCGAGCCAACTGGGACCCGTAGTGGGGTCGACTAAGGCTCGAAAGTCTACCGGGGTTTGGCCCTACAACGTCCCAAAGCTCGATGTCCTTGGGGGCGTTCCCAAAGGTAGGGTCAAGCCCGGCAGAAGCGTCCTTGCCATACTCGAGAGAACTACAGCGGCAAGAGAACGACGCTCTAGGCCAAGCTGGTCGACGAAAGCGGCCGACAAAAAAAAAACGACCGAAAGTAGTGCCTCGTGACTAGGTGGAGGCAGCGAATCGCGAAGAGGATGGAGCATCGGAGAAGCGACTCCGCATCCTCTGGTTTTGTCGAGCAGCCTCGTAGGCCTGCTCTAATGAGGCGGCGGTCTGTTGCCAGAGTTCGATGCGGTAGTCAGTCGACAGACTGACGACGAACTCGTTGGTCAGAAGGACCTCAGGTAACAGTGCCTCATCGCAAATGAGACGGGCGTCCTGAAACACCCGGATGTGACGCTGGAGGTGCGTCAGGGCAGAGGACCCGCGCCCTTGTGTCTCGGTGACCCGATCTAAGGTGTCGGTCGCATCGTGGAGAGTGCCATAGCGGTCATGAAGGAACGTGGTGAAGTCCGCAAAAGTGGGAGCCTCACCCAAGCGAGTACTGACAAGTGTTTATCAGTGTCAGCGCACGTATGGCAGCCCGCAACCAATGCGACACATGAAGTGTACCATCGTAGTCAGGTATATCCGACAGACGCACAAGGGGGGGACCACTGTGCTGACGGCGAGGTGAGAGAGGCTGATGATCTTGCACGGCGGCGGCACATGTTGGGGCCGGTGCAGGGGTGGAAGTGATGGAAGGCTTTGGGCCGGGGGTGCTGGTGGAAGGTCCAGCAGAGGTGGAGGCCACGACCGCAGCCAGTTGTGACGGGGTGGCGAGGTAGGAGGGTACAGGGGGAGGAACAGGTCGAGGGAAACGAGCCTGCAAGACAAAAGTGGGCGGGGCGGTATAAGAAGAAGAAGGGTGAGCAACCTATGAAGGGTGAGGCAGTCTCAGGGTGAGAATCTCTACCTGGAGCTGGGTGACGGTGGCCTGCAAGGTAGCCATTCGCTGGGTGCGCGGGGTCGAAGGTGGAGGACGCAGAGAGGGTACCCTAGTAGGAGGAGTAACGAACTGTAGGGAACCCTGAGGTGGGAGTGAGGAGATGATGGGAGGAGGGAGGACTCCGGACTGTATTGTCGGGACCGAAGCGGGAAGCTCGTAAGCCATACTAGGATGAGTAGATGAAACTATCAGGCCAGATACCGGTATTTGGGCAGCAGCACTGACGGTAGTGGCCGAAGCGGCAGGGGCGACAGGGGCCGACGGGTGTGCCGCAACAGATGGTATAGTCTGAGCGGCAGCGACAGTCAACACTGCGGAGGGGGAGTGTTGGACCTGACCCGCGGGGGTGGACGAGCCACCACGTCTCCGTGTCCGGAGTCGTGGGGAGTCGGATTGTGAGCCAGTAAGGGATGGGGTGTGAGAGCAGTGAGATGAATCCTTGAGGCGGTGGAATTCAAGGGCGAGCGCATTGACTTGCCCCTCCAAAGGAGCAAGTGCATCGAGTCGCGCTTGCAAAGGTGCAAGGAGGGATGCAAAAACAGCGCGAAGGTCCATGGGTCCACAGAGGTCTGACTCTGGACGGTTGGGTGGTGAGCGTTTGAGAGATGGAGGGCGCCTAAGAGGTGAAGGGCGCCACGACGATAGCCTCGAGTGTAGTCCCGTCCATCGTCGGTGGATGTATAGTGGTAGACATGGCGGGAGGTGGGGTAGGAAAAGAGATGGGTTATGGTGTGGGGACAGGGGACCACCAGTGAGAGGGAAGGGACCGCGGGAGCGGAGTGGGTAGTCATGAGTCGACTCGCCCCGTGACCAGCGGGTCGTGCGTGAGAGGGCGGCGCGAATCCGATCGAGGGGAGAGGAGCCGTTTGGGTTCAGGGTGCCCGACGGGAGGAGGCGGGAGAGGAGGGGGGTTAGGAGAACCTTAAGCCCTAAAAAAACCCTAATTAAACCCTAACCGGAGTTGGGTGGTTAGGCTAGGGTAGCGACGACCTAATCAAGAAGAGAAAACAGCAACCATGGAGGGGAGGGGGAAAGGAAAATAAATAAATAGTGAAATTTCGAGATAAATGCAAGGAAGATGAGCAATAGCGAACTCCAGCAATCAAACAACATCATACATCTGAGTCCAGATAGTCGTGACCTCGAACCAACAGCAGAATTGCATCACGAGATTCACCAAATAAGAACACACCAAGAGTTCATAATTGACAATGCTGAAATAGTCCCATCATCATCAACGAAGAACCAGAGTTGATATCCTATCTGGCGCTCGGCGCCCAGACTACATGTGGTAGATCCTATCTAGCCTATACTATGAAGCCAAAAGATGACATCAACAACATTCCCGAAGGACAAGCATATGGCGACCAATGTTGCACGCTTCCAGCACCAGGTATGTCTCGCGCTACACTCACAACCTCGTTCGCCAACTCACAGATGCCACTAGCACCCAAGGACCACCCTGTGCCTCACCCAGCTTACAGCAGCGCAGCTCGGCTATGGCTGCGTGCTCCTTCCCTGCTCGCCCGTGAGAGCGTAGACGCCAACCAGCAAATAGCGCAGCATCAGCGCTTGCGCAACATGCAACCAGCACCCGAATGTCGAATGAGGAGGCAGGCCCTTTCCTATATCGAAGTGGCCTGCCTGCGTCCAGTCCCAGGAAGCTTCCAGTAGGCCCCGGTAGCCTGAGGCCCAGCACGACGAGAGCAGGCCTTGAGCCTGAAGTGGTTGCATGTGCCCAACTGCCTTCGGCCTGTGTTTGGCCCGATACCCGTATCCAGCCCAAGGCCTGCTTCACATACATTCACACAGGCAGCCCAGGGCCTGGGTTCACTCAACCAACTGGCACTGTGCAACTGCCTGAATTTCCTTGAGTTGCGTGGTGGCCAGAAAAGGGCCCTGAGGGCCTCGTCGAGCCTGCCTTCACTTAGGGCGACCGACGGGCTGCAAAAATGGGGCCTTGTGGAGCTCATAGAGGCAATGGCCTCGCATTCCCTCCTCCTTAGCTTCAACAGTCCTCTGAGAAGCTTAATCTTCGATCATAGGGCGCTTTCCCTTCTGCCGAGATCTCTCGTATTGGGTTACAACTTGAGGAGCGGTCTGCATGAGCTCTTCCCTGGTGAACCACCGGTCCTCCTTCGGATCAGTGTGATGTCGGAACCGAACGCGGTACTGCAGCTTCGGTTTCGGAGGACGTCCCCTGCTTGCTGGTCTTGATACCGGCAGCTCTCTGTGATCCACAATATCATCGATGTCCACCTCTCCATCTATGGTTGGGGGCAGCATTGAGTGACGAGATGGAAACTGATCAGTATCTTTGAAAGGTGCCAGCTTGGAGCCGTGAAAGACAGGGTAAGTACGGAGATGACCAGGGATCCGGATAACATAAGATGGCCCATCCGGATATGTCCCAACGATATCCAAGACTTCCCAGGGTCCAAAGTACTGGGGCATGAGTTTGTGGGAGATCCCGTGCTCCTGTCCCAGTTCTGAAGACTTAACCCAGACCCTATCCCAAACTTGAAATGTAGACGACCGGCGGTGTCTATTTTCAGACTCTATCATTGCAGCCTGCACCTTCTGCATCTGGTCTACAGCCTGCTGCATCTTCTGTTCATAGCTGTAAGCAAATTCCAAGGTACCTGGTGCAACTGTGGATTGATTCTCAGGAAGAAGAAATTCTAGGGGTAGTTTAGGCTTGAATGTTAGCAGTAAGCTATTTGGGCTCACCCCGGTGGCGCTGTGTACAGCGTTGTTGTACAAGTTGGCGATGAGAGCAAGCTTCTCATCCCAGTCTACCTGGTTGGGCTTGATGTAATGCCTCAACAGGTGTTGTACACCGTGGTTCAGTTGCTCGGCCTGACCGTTGGCCTCTGGGTGATTCCCAGAAGTCATCTGCAACTGAGTTCCCTGCTCTGCAGCAGCGGCCTTCCACAACTCGCTGGTAAATCGGGCATCCCTGTCACTAATAATAGACTTCGGTAAACCAAAGTCCCTGACCCAGTTCTCTTTAAACATTCTGATCACATACTCCGTTCTGGCTGCTTCCGGCATTGCCACTAACCTAGCATATTTGCTAAATCTATCCACGATAACGAAGATGTGACGCATACCACTCTTGCTAGTGATCAGAGTATCCATGAAATCCATGGACAGACTCTCACCAGGCAGTTCCGGAATCGGAAGGGGCTTCAGAAGCCCAAGAGGAGCCTGAGTACGTGTCCCGTTGGCAAACTTGACAAGTCTCCACGTACAACTGGGCATCTCTCATCATCGTGGGCCACCAGAACCGTTGCAGCAAGTTCGTTGCGGTCTTCTTATACCCAAAATGGCCGGTGGCATCATGACACTCACCTAAAAACAAACTACGCAAAGACTCGCTATTGAGAACACACAATCGTTTATTCCCTGCCTTCTCAAGGAACAACAAGCCATTGACCAATTCAAACTCAGCAGAGGTCTTCTTGTCCTTTGCCCGAAGTCTGCGTATGATCTTAGACATGAACTGGTCCTCGCGATAGGCTTCCACCAAGAACTGAGTAACATGGTCCATCAGATTAAACTCAGTAATCAGCGCACCTGAGAAATCAGGTCTATGCGACAAGGCATCCGCAACCTTGTTGTACTCCCTTTTCAGATACTGAGGGTCAAAGTCATACTGCTCAATAACTTCGATCCAACGCTTGAGAGCGTCAGAAAGTACAGGCTGGGTTCTCATCCATCTCAGGGTCTGATGATCAGTCATGGGGAGGAAGAATCTCCCAAGGAGATAGTGTCTCCAATGGGTCAGAGCCTTGTAAACCGCATAGAGTTCTTTCTCATAGGTGGACTTAGCCAACTTATGAGACGACATTTTCTTGGACATGTACTCTACTGGCCTCAACTTTGGCCCCTCCTGCTGCGCGAGCACGGCGCCAATGCCATATTGGCTGGCATCCGTGGTGACTATAAACGGCTTGTCAGGATCAGGAGGTTTCAAGGCCTCGTAGTGCGTCAACACATGCTTCAGATGTCTGAAAGCAGCCTCGCACTCGTCTGTCCACTCCCATGGGGTGTCAAGGCGGGTGAGATCAGTCAAAGGAGCGACCACTATGCTATAGTTCGTAACGAAAGTCCTATAGTAGCCTGTCATTCCTAAGAAAGATCTCATCTCGGTCACAGACTAAGGACGTGGCCAATCACGAATGCTGGCCACCTTCGCGTCATCGGGCTTCAACCCTTCCGCGGAAATCTCATGACCCAAGTGTAAGACACGGGTGTGGCCAAACTCGCACTTTTCACCGTTTATCTTGAACTTGTGCTGTCGCAGGAGACTGAGGACTTTGTCCAAATGTGCAACGTGCTCCTTGACAGTCTTACTAAAAATAAGTATGTCATCGAGGTACATGATGACAAACTTATCTAAGTAGTCATGGAATATCCGATTCATAGTGTGCTGAGAGGTGCCAGGAGCATTGGAAAGGCCAAAAGGCATCACCACAAACTCGTACGGACCGTACCTGGTCTGGAAAGCGGATTTGTGTTGATCCTCAGGCCGGATTGCAATCTGATGGTACCTGGACTTCAGATCTATCTTACTGAAGTACCGACACCCTTGCACTTTATCTAACAGATTGTCGATGCGCGGTAGGGGTTCTCTATTCTTTACAGTGATGGCATCGAGGCCCCTATAGTCAATGCACATCCTAAGAGTACCCTCCTTCTTCTTAGGTACGAATAAAACTGGATACCCATAAGGAGAGACACTCGGTCGGATCCAACCCTTCTCTACGAGTTCCTTGAGTTGGCGGCGAAGCTCATCAAGCTCGCCTGGAGACATCCGATAGATCGTACCCTTCGGGATACTAGACCCTGGGATAATCTCTATCGCATGGACGACCTCCCTCTCAACAACCCCTGTTGGCTCTTCAAATAGATCAGGGTACTTAGCAACTACTCCCTCTATCTCCGGCGGCATTTTCACCGGCTCGCCTGCAGCAGAGACATAAACTAAATACGTACCCTCCTCCTGATTTTGCTTATAATAATTGTAGAACGTGGCCGCACACATGCACCCATAGGACTCAATCAGACTACTAGCTTTGAACTTATGTAATCTGGCGGTCCCTCCACCTGGCAAAGTGTGTTTGATCACTTTTTGGTCCCAGTCAAACTGGGGCTGTGCTACAGAGAGGTAGTACATACCTAGTAACATATCCATTGGGAGCTCGTCACTTACTAGGAACGAGACACGATGTCTCAAGTCCCCTCCCGCGTACGGGAAACAACACTCAACATCCTGAAGGTAGTCGTTAACTACCATGCGCTGTTTGTTGACACAGGTCGACTCAGGCGCTGCACTCGCCCCTGTAAACGCAGCCTCTCAACGCACGCGCGACTAATAAAGTTCCTAGTCGAGCAAGTGTCATAATAGGCCCCGGCCTTGCGGCCGCCAATGACAACCTCGCTGACGAACATCTCACCCTTCGGGGCTTTGACTAGTGCCGTCCAAGAACCTAGTGGGTCTGATATAGACCACTCCACCTCTAGCTCCTCTAAGGACTCAAACACATTCATCGAACAGAGGCTCGATGGGTCTGAAATTGTTTGCGGGACGACATGGGAGTCAGTAGCTTGGGCCATCTCTCGAGATGGTGAGGGTGTCTCCACCACCTCGAGCCTAGCAGGAACAACTACTATTTATACTGGGCGATGTGTTTCCCGGAACACTACCTAAAGTACTGCCAACGTTGCTACCAACGGGATGAGAGGATCCCAACACCTGCCCCATCGTAGGCGGGATCTTTTCTGTCACTTTCTTATTGCGGCACTTGAATTGGTTGTGGCCATATTGACCACAACGAATACAGGCGGATTCCGCCTCTTTCCCACTCTTCCAAACGTCATTTCCTTTGCCTTTTGGCACAAGGGACCGACTACCCTTCCCTTGCCCTCTTTCTCCGACAAGTGAGGTCTGATTTTTTTACCGTTCGCACCCTGGCAATGTAACAAGTGAGGGGAGAAGGGTTAGTCGTATGCCAAGTGAGGGGAAGGGAGAGAGGGGGCAAGGCGAAGAGGGAGAGAGAGAGAGAAAGAATGGGGGAGAGCGAGAGCGAGCGAGAGCGAGAGAGAGAGAGAGAGAGAGAGAGAGAGAGAGAGAGAGAGAGAGA